TCATGGACTAAGCTGGAATCTGCAAAAAATTATTCAACAGGAGAAGACAAGGTAAAATGGGCTCTTATTAGTTCAACAATTATTCATATGAGAGCCACTCAACATTTTCATCGTGGTCTTCTCCTCGGTAAGACTCGAATAAAAAGAAAAGAAGTTCAGAGAAACACACCGAAATATTTTTCGGGTTTTTGGTTTTCTTGAACAAACAAATAAAAGAGAAAACCAAAAACGAGAAAAACTATTTACACGGGAAAGCTCCCAACAAGCAAAAGAAGAATAAGGAAATCTTTTTGGGTTTTATTTTTAGTTCTACTACTAAGCATGCGTAGAAAGTAAATTACTATAACTATTTTTTTTGTTTTTCTAAAGTTTTTCAAACACACAAGAAGAAAGCAAGAGAATAAATCTAAGCATGGATGATACAATGAAAAAGTGTGAGCGCCGACAAATAAGATGATATGTGAACATGAATATAATGTCGGTGAGAAACACGTACTCCCCCAAGCTTAGGCTTTTGGCCTAAGTTGGTAATAGGTCAGTAGCATGGAGGGTAGTAGGGATCCCGAGGAGCGGGCATCCACTCATCCCACTGCTGAGGTGCCTGTGCAGCCTCTGCAGTAGCATGTGCGTTCCAGTAGGCAAGGATGTCAGCAGGCATAATCCGGTATCCGCCCCTGGCAACAGAATCAAACAAAGCAGGTGCATGCAAGGGGATAACACCACAAGTGTCAATGCTATAGACCAAGTTATAAGGAATGCCAATGTTAGGATTATCATGTGCAAGAAAGCGATGGTGATACATGGCTGCCTGATACGTCTCCAACGTATCTACTTTTCCAAACACTTTTGCCCTTGTTTTGAACTCTAACTTGCATGATTTGAATGAAACTAACCCAGACTGACGCGTTTTCAGCAGAACTGCCATGATGTTGTTTTATGTGTAGAAAACAAAAGTTCTCGGAATGACCTGAAAATCCACGAAGATAAGTTTTGGAAAATATAAAAAATACTGGTGAAAGAATCAAGACCAGGGGGACCACACCCTGTCCACGAGGGTGGGGGGCGCGCCCACCCCCCCTGGGCACGCCCCCTGTCTCGTGGGCCCCCTAAGGCTCCACCGACCTCAACTCCAACTCCATATATTCCGTTTTGCGAAGAAAAAATCAGAGAGAAAGTTTCTCGCGATTTACGATACGGAGCCGCCGCCAAGCCCTAATCTCTCTCGGGAGGGCTGATCTGGAGTCCTTTCGGGGCTCCGGAGAGGGGAATTCGTCGTCGTTGTCATCATCAACCATCCTCCATCACCAATTTCATGATGCTCACAGCCGTGCATGAGTAATTTCATCGTAGGCTTGCTGGACGGTCATGGGTTGGATGAGATTTACCATGTAATCAAGTTAGTTTTGTTAGGGTTTGATCCCTAGTATCCACTATGTTCTGAGATTGATGTTGCTATGACTTTGCTATGCTTAAGGCTTGTCACTAGGGCCCGAGTGCCATGATTTCATATCTGAACCTATTATGTTTTCATGAATATATGTGTGTTCTTGATCCTATCTTGCAAGTCTATAGTCACCTATTATGTGTTATGATTCGACAACCCCGAAGTGACAATAATCGGGATACTTCTCGGTGATGACCATAGTTTGAGGAGTTCATGTATTCACTATGTGCTAATGCTTTGTTCCGGTTCTCTATTAAAAGTAGGCCTTAATATCCCTTAGTTTCCACTAGGACCCTGCTGCCACGGGAGGGTAGGACAAAAGATGTCATGCAAGTTCTTTTCCATAAGCACGTATGACTATATTCGGAATACATGCCTACATTACATTGATGAATTGGAGCTAGTTCTGTGTCACCCTGTGTTATAACTATTACATGAGGAATCTCACCCGACATAATTATCCATCACTGATCCAATGCCTACGAGCTTTTCACATATTGTGCTTCGCTTATTTACTTTTCGGTTGCTATTGTTACAACAACTACAAAACTGCTATATTTACTTTTGCCACTGTTACCATTACTATCATACTACTTTGCTACTAAATACTTTGCTGCAGATACTAAGTTATCCAGGTGTGGTTGAATTGACAACTCAACTGCTAATACTTAAGAATATTCTTTGGCTCCCCTTGTGTCGAATCAATAAATTTGGGTTGAATACTCTACCCTTGAAAGTTGTTGCGATCCCCTACACTTGTGGATTATCACTGTCTGGTTTAGGTAAACCTTGGCCCAGGGGAAATCATGGGAGTGTATCTCAACCTCGAAGTGAGCCGCCAAACGAGTGGCAAAGATCCCACCATGTATTTTACCCTGGGATTTATAAAGATGGAGGCGACGAGGCACAATAGCTCCCAAGCTATAAGTGTTGTCGCCATGTAATGCTCGATGCAAAACAACAAGGTCTGGTGAACTAAGTGCACCCTCTTAAGAAAAATGCTTTGCCGGATCACCCTCTTAAGAAAAATGAAATACTTGATATCTTTTATAATGGACTAACCGATGCTTCCAAGGACTACTTGGATAGTTGTGCTGGTTGTGTTTTCAGGGAAAGAACAGTCGACAAAGCTGAATTACTATTGAATAATATGTTGACTAATGAAAATAATTGGACTCTTCCTGAGCCAATTCTTGAGGCAATTCCTGAACCAATTGAGCCAACTGCCGAGCCTATTCCTAAACCCACTCCTAAGAAGAGAGGTGGTCTATTTCTCAGTCCTGAAGATATGCAAGAGGCAAAGAAATCAATGAAAGAAAAAGGTATAAAAGCTGAAGATGTTAAGAATTTACCTCCTACTGAAGAAATACATGGTCTTAATATACCACCTGTTGAAGAAACACATTGTCTTGATAACCCAACACAGGTAATAAAGGTAAATTCTCTCTATAGATATGATAAAGTTGAAATTCCTTCTACTAAATTTCATAGCCCATGCTTAGATGAATTTGATAACTTTATGGCTAGACAAGAAAGTTTTAATGCTTATGTTGGTAGAGAACTAAAGAATAATGCTTTCGAGATAGGACGCTTGAGTGATTATATGGCTAGAGTTAAAGGTGAACTTAAACTCATTAGCAAATATGCTTCTATGGTTGCCACTCAAGATGAGCAAGTAATTAAAGCTCAAAATGATTTGCTTGATTAATTAAATAATAAAAATGACTTTGCTGTTAGAGTAGGTACTAGAATTGGTAGAATGACTCAGGAACCTTTGTATCCTGAAGGCCACCCTAAGAGAATCGAGCAAGATTCTCAGAGAAATAATTTAGAGGCACCTAGTTCTTCTAAAAAGAAGAAAAAGAAAAATGATAGGACTTTGCATGCTTTTAGTGAACCTGTTACAGACACACCTGAGAATCCCAATGATATTTCTGTTTCTGATGCTGAAACACAATCAGGTGATGAACATGAACCTAGTGATAATGTTCATGATATGTTGATGTTGAACCTAGCAAAAACAATGAGGTAGAAATTGAACCTGCTGTTGATCTTGATTTTTCCTCCTATCCTCAAAAAGGTCATCCGAGTCATCCGGGCTTTCCATTGGCACAACCGGAGGACGCTAGCACTGGCTCTTGCTTGGTTAGTTGGTCCAAAGTGTGTGTCGCCCACTGGATTTTGGTGGGTTGGGAGTGCATGATCTCCATCTCAATCGCATCCGCCTCCGTGTTCGTTGGCTCTGGTTGCAGGCGATTGACTCTTCTCGGCCTTTGTCTCACCCTCCG